AGAACTCACTATGTTTGTTGTACAATGTTGTATATAATTACATAGTTGAGTGCATTCTCAATTATTTTCAGTGGCTGGTTGATGTCTACCTTTAGATACTTTCAGAATATTTAAATGGAAAAATTAAAAGATCCTGAAGCCATGTGTGGTTTTAGCCTAAAATTTGGTTTTTTTCTAGCCTTAAGTTAGCCCTTCTCATCTCCAGCTACCTTAACCACAGACACATGGTCTTGCAAATCATCAGTAGCTGTGAGACTAGAATGAGAGAAAGAGTGCTTTGTACACTGGCCCCAAGACTTGAGACAAGTAAGACCTGAGGCGAGCAAGACCTCGGTAGTGGAGAGACTGTGGCATTTCTTTGACAAACGGTGGCAGAGTGTGACCTGAGGTTTCTTGCATTTGTGCTGGCCACAGTTCAAGGTTTGGCTGTTCTTGCTGGATGTTTGAAGGAGAAGGTGACTTAAAACTCCTCTAAAGCAAATCTTGTTGCATTATTTGGATTTGATTGCTACTCTGAAACCAGAGTTTGGATTTACTGCGGAGTTGTGCATTTGAACTGTTGAGTTAAAGCCTGGACTTGTCTTGTGAGATATTCTTTGCCATTTCCACTCATTTCCCTAATAAACCTTATTGTCAGTACCATAGCTGTGAGTCTGTGTGTCAGCAAAGAATAAATAAACCTTTGCTGCTGGGCTATGGGCTGGGCTGCTGTTTCCTTGTCTGCTTTCACTCTAGGGCAGTGAGGGGCTGCTATTCTTACTCCCTCTGGCCCTTGAAGAAAGATACTCATGGCCCTATGCCCCCATGTCTGGTTTTCTCCTCCTTAGACACCATGTCTTCTAAGGACCAAAGCAATGTTTTCCGTATAGGGTAAAGTGACATTTATTAAATTTTTTTTCTCTCAGCAATTATGTTTATATTTATCTAAATTATAGCAGCTATACTGTAGCTATACTGTATACTATAGCCTATTTTATGTAACTTTAAAAAAATATTAGTGAGGATTTAGGAACTGAAATTCTCATATGTCAGGTAAATTTTGTAGATGGTGGTCACATTTCACCATATTGTGGTGCCAAAAAATGTAAATATTAAGTACATGAATAGAACTAATCCTTTGAATTAGGAGATAGAAATAAGAATATGAAATTATTAATAGTTCTCACTATGAGCTTTCCTTTGGGATGTACTCTAGTAGGAAAAAATAATTTTCCTGAAAAATAAATGTCACTGTTGCTTAGTCCTATTGAATTTTCAAAATATTTTATACTCATTGAATATATGACCTTGAATTCATGGACATCCTCTGGGTTTTATGTCCTACCAAGAGGAAAGAAAAACCAAACATTTCTGGAGGCTTTCTAATTAATTCTTTCACTACTAAGAATAGATGAAAATGATTTAAAATTTCATTCCATTAAAAAGGCATCTACTTCAAATTGTGCTTTCAAATAGATCAATTTAGTCAAGTCACATATTTAAAATTTACTTATGTGAAGTCTCCTGGAATTTTTGATTTGCATATCTGAAGCACTTAGGCTTTTCCAACCCTACTCTTTCTGTGGATGCCATAGAGAATCCTGCCATGACTCAGATTCTCTGTAAAAGTGCTTAATGCCTGTCACCTCTAACTAGTACTATATGTAACACTTAACATGTCTACATGCTATTTTTATTTGATGAATTGTGGCCCTCAGAAATATATATTGAAAGCCCTCCTCTCACCTAATTTATATACTTAACAAAATAAGAAGTGATAGAGACAGGCTATATCACTGCCAGATCAGACAGGTGATATCATATATCAAATGCTACTCTCTCTCTCTCTCTCTCTCTCTCTCTTTCTTTCTCCTTGTTCCTCTCTCCTTTCATATCTTATAAGAGAAAAGGTGATGTTGGCCACACTCCACTCTAAGGACTCTCCTTACATTGTACTTGGGCTGTAACCTGAGTAATGGTATTTCAACCCACCCTAATCCTGCCTTGTTAACATATATTGTTTTTAGGTGCTTTAGAGTTGGTTCTGACTCATGGCAAAATTATACAACAGAAGGAAACATCACTCAGTCCTGCACCATCTTCACAATCACTGCTGTCAAGTTGAAGGCTTTCCTCTTTTAAACTAACCAACCTTCCTACTTTAGGAAACATGAAGACTCTTCCAGGGATTTACCCTTCCTAATGACCTCTTTGGGACATGTGAGATGATGTCTTTCCATCCGTGCTTCTGAGGAGCATTATTGGCAATATTTATTCTGAGACATACTTGCTTGTCCTTTTGAAAGTCTTTGGTATATTCAGTATTCATTGCCAAAACCACAGTTCAGTGACATCAATTCTTCTTAGGTCTTTGTTATTCATTGTCCAAGTTTCAAATACATAGAAAACAATTGAAAATACTATGATTTACACCTAGCGAACTCTGGGTCACTTAGTCTTTAACTGACATCCTTGTTCTTTAACTCTTTAAAGAAATATTTGACTGCCAATTTGCCCAATGCACTAAAGTGTTCGATTTCTTTACATATACTTTCATAGGTGTTGATTATGAATTCAAGTAAAAGGAAATCCTTGAAAAATAACAAATTATGATTAACCTTGAGAAGAATAGGAATCCTAGAATACTTAATTGTGTTCATTCAAAACCTATTCCTAGACCAAAAAGCTGTTGTCTAACAGAGCAAGGAAACGCTACATAGTTTAACATTTTAAAAAAGTTGTGTGTCAGAGCTGCATTATTTCTCTGTACTTATTCAATATGCATGCTGAACAAATAATTCAAGAAGCTGAATTTTATCAAGAAGAATGTAGTATCAGAATTAGAGAAAGACTCAACAACGTCCTGAGTTGTGCAGATGACACAACCTTGCTTGCTGAAGGAGAGGAGGTTTTGAAGCGCTTTCTGCATAAGATCAATGACTTTGATATGGATTGCATCTCAGCATCAAGACAAAATTTCTTACCACTGGCCAAAAAGCAACATCATGAAAGATGGAAAAAAGTTTTAAATTGTCATTGCATTAGGAAAATCTGTTGTCAGGGACCTCCCAAGGAGCAATGATGCTTGGTTTAAAAACCAAGATGCATCAGATTCAGGCCACGACCTTTTCAGTCATTTTCTATGCATCTGAGATCTGGAAAGTGAATAAGGATAATAAAAGAATCAATGCCTTTGAGAATAAGAATGGTGTGGTATTTGAGAGTACTGCATACCTCATGAACTGCCAAGAGAATAAACAGATATGTCTTGGAGAAAATGCAATCAGAGTACTTCTTAGATGCAAGAATGATGATGCTTCAACTCACAACTGGACATATTGTTAGGAGGGGCCATTCCTTGGAAAGGAACATCATGCTTGGAAATATGAAGGACCAGTGAAGGAGAGGAAGACCCCCAATGAGATAAGCTGACACAGTGACTGCAGCAATGGGCTCAAGAATGGTGGAAATGGTGAAGATGGCACAGGATAAGACAGGGTTCAGATACATTGTTCATAGGATTGATATTAGTCATACTCAACTCAATGGCACGTAACATCATAATAACCGCTTACTGTCCCAGTTGTAAAATTGTCATTTCCTCTATAGTGAAGTATTGTCCATTAGAAAGCTATCGGACTTAAAAGAAAACTTCTACTCGTTACTAATGAGCTGAAACTGATGCATAGCTGACCCTCCATTTGGTTTTCAGAACACTGTAAATCACAAGGAGGGATATTGTCCATATTTCTTTTGCAGAATCATTGGTTGATTTGAACAGCCAGATAGGTGCACCTTTGATTTAGCAGTACAACTTCCTACTGGCAATGTCACCAAAACTCCCTTTATGAAGATTATAGTAATTTATTTTCATTAGTAAATGTTTCAAATATTTATATGTATATCTCAGGTTGGTTTTGAGGTTTCCTCTAATACTGATATGGCATTTAATCTTGATATAGTTCCATTTTCAGACTGAATTTAAACAAAAGTGAATATTTAAGACTCTACTGCATGACTTCCCTGATTTTGTCTATCTAATACATCCTTATATTGTTCAAATGGCTGCTGTTTGGTCAATGTACAAATTTCTAAGCACATTTAAGTTCTCTGGAATTCTCATTCTTCATAATGTTCAATGTTATCCACATTTGCTATGACTCACATGATCTAAAGCCTTTGCATAGTCAATAAAACACAGGGAAATATCTTTACATCATTAGAGCATAGTTATTAGGTTAGGTGATGTCAAGTCTTTTCAACTAATAGCTACCCTTTTTATAACAGATCAAAACCCTACCCAACACTGTGCTATCTATCTCCTGTGCAATGTTTTCTCTGCTTAAGCTCACTGTCGCAGAAAAAGTTAGTCCATCCCATTGAGGCCCTTCCTCGCCTTCAATGTCCTTATACTTTTCCTAGGATGATAGCACTTTCCAAGGACAGTCATGTCTTAATAACGTGCCTAAATTATGTGATAATCATCCTTGCCTCTGAGAAGTACCCTGGTTGCACTCCCTTCATAACAAACTTGTTTGCTGTTTTTATAGTCTACAGTATATTCATTATTATTCACCAATACCACGATATAGGTTGTAGTTTATCAAACATGGAGGATAATTGAATCATGTTACATTTTGCTAGCTGATTATATCTTTATATAACCATGAAAGTGCATCAATATCTAATTGCCAGACCATTGTTAATCATGGTGCTTCCAAAATCTATGATAGGTAGTGACACAATTAAATCTATGACAGGTAGTGATAACACATTTAGCTTTGAATTTCATCATTTCTTTTCATTAGAAACTAGTACTAACTACATTTTCTGCACTCCTTCCATTCTAGAATTTCTTTTGAAAATTAATGCAAAAATAAGCAGATATAACTATATCTAATCTGTCTATTAGATGGATAACTAAAAATTACTGGAAATCTGTTCTCTTAGAACAGAAAGTGCACTTGATTGGAACATTCTGATCAAACCTTCCTCCCTTTCCTTCAATTTTTTTCTTTCAGGTTATATTCAAGAAAAATGTGTCATTCCCTGTCCATTCGATTGCAAGTTAAGTGACTGGTCTAGCTGGGGGTCTTGCAGCTCATCTTGTGGGGTTGGAGTAAGGATTCGATCCAAATGGTTAAAAGAAAAGCCTTACAATGGAGGTCGCCCATGTCCCAAACTGGATCTCAAGAATCAGGTAAAGTGCATGAAGTAAAAGTAAATGAATAAATAAGTATAAAACGTTGAAGCATATCCCTATTATTATATCTTGTTAACATCAAAGTGAATCTCTTATTAAAAGCAGTTTATACACAATTATCACAGATTTGGAAAAGGAGTTAAGGGGGCAATGATTAATATAATACCCAATTAGAGTTGTGGTTTGATTGATAAGCTCTCAGTGGCTAACCTGGAGGTTAGGATTTTGAATTCACTGGTTGTCCCATAGGACAAATAATCTGCTTCTGTAAACATTTACTGCCTTAGATATCCTATAGGACAGTTCTGTTTTGCTCTATAGTGTTGATTATGAGAAGGAATTGATTTGATGACTTTGGAAGGCTTTTTGTTTGTATCTGAATATAGTATTTGTGATAGAAACTTGCTTGTATATAGGTAATTGCCAAGGTCACCTTAATATAATTAAAAACAATAAAGCTTGCAAAATTGGAATCTAATTAATTTTTTTAAATTTTATATTTGCATGCAAAATTTGTGTAGATTGTGTTTCATCCATACACATTACATTTTACACATTCCTTCATTCACATTGTATTTCATACGATCATCCCCATACATTTTTTGTTGTTATGTGCCATTGAGTCACCTGTGACCCATAGAGACCTTATGTACAACATCGCTGAACCCTGCCCTATACTGAGCCAGTTTCACTGACTCCAACACATTTGGCCCCATTACTCTTACTACTGTGTAAATCCATTTCATTTAGGATCATCCTTTTCTGTGCTGTCCCTTCACCCTTCCACCTATGATGTTCTTCCCCAAGGACTGACCACATGCCCAAAGTATGTGAGATGGAGTTTCAAAATCCATGCCTCCAAGGAGCAGTTTGGTTTCACCCTCCAGGACAGACATATTAGTTCTCTTGGAAATCCATGGCATTTTCAATATTCTTCTCCAGCACCACACGACTCAAAGACATCAATTCTGTTTTTGTCATCCTTGATCATGGCCCGGCTCTCTGATGCATAACAAGCAATTATGAAGATCATTACTTGAATCAGGTGAAACTTAGTCTCCAACTGACATTGTTGCTCTTTAGCACTCTGGAGAGGTCCCTGATAGCAGATTTCCCTAAAGCAATTCATTTTTTATTTCCTGAGTAGCCAAGCAAGCTGGAATTGTTAACAACTTCATTCTCTTCTCCATCTATCATACTGCAAGTTGGCCCCATGGTGAGAATCTTTGTCTTCTTGATTTTGAGCTTCAATCCATATCAAACACAACAATCCCTGACCTAGCCAGCAAAGTTGCAGCATCCTCATAAGGCTGGACAGCTTGCTAGAAGAGATCCATATTTATTCCCATTCCAAAAACCGATGATCCAGCAGAAGGTGGAACAGTATCACTAATATCACATGCAAGCCAAAACCTTGCTGAAGATTGTCCAAAAAAGTGCATTGACATAGAACTAGCAGAACTACAAGCTGGATTTAGAGCAGGCCACGGCGCTAGGGATATCATTGCCTGTGTTAGATCTTGGCTGAAAGCAATGATTATAATAATGTCTATCTGTGTTTCATTAACTACACAAAAGCTTTTGACTGTGAGGATCACAACAAATTGTGGCTATAATCTTGAGAAGAATGGAAATCCCAGGACACTTTATTGTGTTCATGGGAAACCTATACTTGGACCAGGAAGCAGTTGTTAGAACAGATCAAAGAAACATTGCATGGTTCAATGTCAGGAAAGGAGTGCATCAGGGATGTGTCCTGTGTCCATTCCTTTTCAATCTATATGTAGAACAGGTCATTTGGGAAGCTGCAATTTATGAGAAGGAATGTGGCATCAGGATTGGAGGAAGACTTATCAACAACCTGTGTTATGCAGATGATATATTACATCATTGTGTTTTATAAAACCAATTACTACTGAGCTATACCAACTATCACCTCATCTTTTTCAGATCCCTATTGGATCTTTCCTAATTCTATCATCCCCTTCCTCTGCCCACCAAATTCTGACTCTGTGATTTTCCCCTCCTCCCCGTATTCAACCCCCTCCTCTCTCCTCTTCCCCCTTTGGACTTTTACACATCTTACTAGTCATTCATCTGTTTTTTACAATAATATTTTTATGCAGTAATTGCCCTTATGAAACTGAGTTAATTACTCAGCATAATGGTCTCTAGCCTTTAACACGTTATACAGTATTTTTCAAAATTATCCCTCCAGAGTAATGCATAGTATTTCATTATGTGAATGTATTATAATTTCTCAATCCATGCTTTTGTTGGTAGATGTTTGGACTGTGTCTATTTTCTTGTGATTGTAATTAATGGTGTTATGAACATTGGTGTACAAATCTCCATTTATGTCTCAGTTCTCTTTTCCTCAGGGTATATTTCTAGCAGTGGAATAGCCGGGTCATATGAAATTTCTATATTTACCTTTTTGAGGAAGTGCTAGACTGCCTTCCAGAGTGGTTATACCATTTTAAAATCCCACCAACAGTGTATGGAGTTCCAATATCTCTACATTCTCTCAAATATTTATTACTTGCTGGCCTGGTAAACTTTGCCACTGCTATTGCAGTGAGATGATATCTCATTGTGGTTTTGATTTTCATCTTTCTTATTACCCGTGATTTTGAGCATTTATTCATGTATCTATTGCTGCAGAAGGTCAATATGCAGCCTTCAATATGAATTGAAGCTCAACATCAAGAAAACAAAGATTCTAGACTGAGATTGTTAGTTTGCTTGGCTCCACAGTCAACACTCTTGGTACCAGCAGCCAGGAAATCAAAAGATGAATTGCATTGGGAAAGTCTGCTCTCAGAGACCTCTCCAGAGTACTAAAAAACAATGATGTCATTCTGGAAACTAAGATGAGCCTGATCCAGGCCATAGTCTTTGCAATTACTTGCTATGCGTCAACGAGCTGGACAATGACTAGGGATGATATAAGAAGAATTGATGCCTTTGAGCTGTGGTGCTGGAAAAGAGTATTGAATATACTGTGGATTGCCAGGAGAATGGACAAGTTTGACCTAAAGAATGTGAAACCAGGCTGCTCCTTGGAGGCAAGGATTCTGAGGCTTCGTCTGAATCCGTTTGGGTATGTTGGAAGGAGGAACCAGTTCTTGGAGAGGGACATTATGCTTGCAAGGGAGGAGGAACAGCACAAGAGAGGAAGACCCTCATTGAGATAGATTGATTGGGGTAATAAGGGTAGGTGTGTCAGAGACAATAAGGTTGGCACAGGATAGAGCAAGTTTCAGGGCTGTTGTACATAGAGTCGCTATGAGTCACAAGCAACTAGACAGCACATAACAACAACAACATTGTCCATCCAAATGTCATCATTTGTGAAGTCTTTCTATGCCTTTTTCCCATTTTGTAATTGGGTTATTAGTCTTTTTCTTCTGGAAGTCCTGTAAGATTCTGTAAACTTATGTTATGAGACCCTTGTTTGAGATGGAATTTCTAAGCATTTTTTCAATAGGTTTTATTTTCACCTTAATAGAAAAAGATTTTGAGGCACACAGGGACTTAATTGCTAGACGGTCCCATTCATAAATATTATCCTCTCCTGGTTGTGCATTTCTGGCTGTGTTTTCCAGCCTATTTATACCATAGGCTAGGCCTTCTAAGTTTGGTCTTATTTTATCTTTTATGATCTTCATGGTTTGGGGCTTTACACCTAGGTCTCTCTGATCCACCTTCAGTTGATTTTTGTGTATGCTATGAGATATGGATCCTGTTTTAGCTTTCTGCAGGTAGAAATCCAGTTTTGCCAGCATCATCTGTTGAGAAGATTGTCATTTCTCTATTTGATAGTTTTGTTTCCTTGTCAAAAACATAATGACCATAGGTAGATAGATTCTGTTGCATTGCTCTCCGTATCTCAATGAACCTGTATCATGCTATTTTGGTTATTATAACTGTTTATTAGGTTTTGAGATCAAGGAGTGCTATGCCTCCCACTTCATTTTTGTTTTACAGAAGTATTTTTTGTTTGTTTGTTTGTTTTACAGAACTATTTTGTGTATTTGTAGTCTCTCTCCTTTCCAGACTTGCCAATTGCCTTTTCTATATCTTTGAAGTTAGTATCTATAGTGGGATTGCCTTAAACTGTAGAGAGCTTTTGTCATTTTCAGTATATTTCATCCTCCTATCAAATTAGCAGGAAACATTTTTCCAATTGTTTAGGTCTTTTATTGTTTCTTGCAATAGTGTTTTGTAGTTTTCATGTGTTTCTGTTCTTTCCAGTAGTATATTGCCTGTACTCTCCCTGAGTGATGCTTTTATAAATTCTTGTACTTCTTTACATGAGGTTGTCTTTTTTTTAAATATTTCTTCCATCTTTTGAAATTTCCTCAGTAGTTGTTCATGTTCCCCTGCATCAGTATATTTCTTTTAGCTCTCTGTCTCTGGGATATTTGCTAAATTTATAGCTTCAGTTCTTTCTTCCATTATCTAAACCTTCTTCAGTAGTTGTTATTATATATAAGTCCACATCAATATATGTCTTTTGATTCCCTATCTGTAGGATATTCCCTTTATATATGGCTTTATTCCTTTCTTCCATAGCTTGTATTTTTTCTATAGCTATTTATATAACTCCAGATAAATATTTTTCTTCTGCCTTCCTATCTCTGGTGTAATCAATAGGTCTGCAATATGCTCTGCTATTTTAGGAGAAGGCTTATTTTGTTTTGTTCACAGTGTTTGGAACTACCTGCTCCTTTCTTCTCAGTATGTGAAGGTTTTCCCCTTAGTATGTGATAGGTGATTTCTATTGTGTCTGTGTAGATTGTTGACCCTTCTTTAGCCTTATGATATTATTAATTAGTTGCAAACTTAATGTGTTATGTCTCTGGGGATGCAAATAATTCTACTAAAAAAAACGTCCTTGGCCTATGTATGGAACCAGAAAGTTTGTCTTTCCTAACATCCTTCAAATCTTCTCTGGTCTGCAGGGCAGCCCTACAGGGATTTCACATATTGTA